TAACCATAGGGATAGCATAGATAAGTTTTGATTTTTTTTTTCTAAAATTTACTACTTTTTACTAGTGACACTAGTGATACTAATCGAAAAGAAAATAAAAAAGCCTAATAATCTTAAGAAGCATAACGAACATGTCACTAGTTCTGTCACTAGTTAGTATACGGAACTAGTGACACTAATGATGCTCAAAAATTAATATACTCATTGTCTCGACCAGCAAAAGTGTGCTTAAACCATGATCAGGCCTCAGTGAAGGTGCAGTAAATTCGGTTAATTATGGCCAGCACTATTATATAATTTCGGCCAATTCTTTGAATACAATAATTTGATATCCAAACTGGAATAAAAGTAATCTAGAACTGGTGAACTAATAGAACCTTTCCGGTTTTCTGTCAGTAAAGTAACAAGAAAGTTGATGAATAAGTGTTGAGAACTGAAAGTACAGTAAAATTAATAAAAATTTCGACCAACACTATTCAATAATTTCAGCCAGATCTTTGGGCACAATAACTTGGCAACCAAGAAGTAATTTAAAACTGGCAAACTAATAGAACCTTTCTGGTTCCCTACCAGTTTCCACCAGTAGCATGATAGTTCTAGGCACTATTAAGAGACTACTATGGTGCCAAGTTGGATCCTCAAATCATGTGTTCTAAAGATCGGCCAGAATTATGCTATAGTGCCGGGCAAATTTAAATACAGATTTACTGCGCTACCCGAAACAATATATTTTTTTTACTACATTTTGATATTTTGACAGACAACTGAATAGGCGCAAAAAGGTAAGTGCCTCAATATAGAATCTGGCCAAAATGGTATCTAAGATGGTCTCCAAAGAGGCCAAGAAAGGTAGAATCACGCATCTTCTCTTCTAATTAGTCGGATGACCTGAAAAAGAGAAACTATATAACTGGCTACACACCTGAGGACAGTTTCACAAATCATAATCTACTTAGAACAGACATAATCTAGTTGGGACAGACATAATCTAATATAAAATTCTAGACTATATCGTTCTAACTAGATAACATTATAATGTAACTGGATAACAGTCTTATAAGACTGTTATCCAGTAGATATCATTAAAAAATAATTAGCTAACTATATAAAATTCTATATAAATAAACTATTGTATATATAGAAATTATAAGAAATTTTATATAGCTGGCTAATTATTTTAATAATATCTTAATAACCACTAGACTAATTTAATACTGTTAGATTCATTTTAATAAGCTTGACAATTGTTTCTTAATTGATGATCTGCCTATTAACAAAAAAAATTTTATATAATAATATAAACATAGATTATTTATATGTAAAGCAAGAATTAAAATTTTAAGCATATAAATAAAAGAATTAATATATATGTACTCTAAGAGTATATTAAAATTTTATGTACTTAATATTTGTGTAGCACAAAATCAGAATTATATACATGTATTACTTAATAGTATAATTATATGCATCGAAGAATGAATCATGCATAGATAATAATTTAATTATATAAAAACAAATAACATTTATCCTATAGTATAAATAGAAGGAAAAGCAAAGTCAAAAATTGATTTTTTTGATTATTTCTCCTAGTGACAAATATATACAAACACAAAAAGTATTAAGGAAAAGATCACTTAATTACACATATTACAAGTTTAAAAGCCTATTAAGTTCATTATTATATAAAGGTTGTTATAATTAGTCTTTAGCTATATTTTATCTAAATCACATCAGCTATAAATAGAAGAAAAAGCAAAATTAAAAAATAGTTTTCTTGCAAGAGGCATATGGGGTCTTTGCCTTAAAAATCATCTTACAACATTTTTCGATTAGGCTAATTCAGACAAAACATATCAAAATATCAGGTTGTATTTATATGTGAATCATATTTAACCTTTATTTATTTGATAGTTTATTGAATCAACTATCGAATCAATAAGTTAAAATGTAATTCACATCTAAATACAACTTGATATCTTGGTCTGTTTTGTTCGAATTAGCCTGATCAGAAAATGTCGTAAAGTGATTTTTAAGGCAAAAACCCCATATAACAAACACAAAAGGTGTTAAAATTACTTATCTATGCGCATATTGGTCTTGAAAACCTGTATTAGGTTTGTGAGAAGGTTATCTATAATTTGAACAATATAATAGTTTAACCTTACATTAGTTTTTAGATACATTTTATTTAAGTTTATATTAGTTTATTCAAAAAACACCAAAATAGAAATTAAAGACAACTCAGAAACTTTTGGAAAGCAGTCTTTAAGTGTTGCAGCATAGTAGGTCAGATTTTTTTTTGATTTTGGCTTTGATTTATATAATTTCTTCAGCTAACCTAAAATTAAATTAAAGTGAGCAGTATTCAGTTGAGATTATGGATCCTCCAGTGGTTGAAATTGTAGACCCTTTAGCAATTGAAATTGTGGATTTTTCAGAGATTGAAATTGTGAATTCTCTAGTGATTGAAATTGTGGATCCTACAACAGTTAAATTTAGATTCTTCAACAGTTGAAATTGTAGATTTTGTTGAAAGTGTGGATCCTCCAGTAGTTGGTCAAACTTTTTGTAGTTGGGATAAAATGAATTATTTTTTGACTCTCTATGCAAAGTCTTAGAATTTTGTCTTTATTATTTGTGGTTCAAAATATGATAATAAAGTTTGCCGAAGCTGTTGTTATGCTTGTAAATATAAAGCTATAAATAAAAAGACTAATATAGTTGAAAATTAACAGGAAATATAAAGTAAACGTACAGGTTGATGTTGGCAAGTTCATGCTAGTTGTTCTAAAACAACTGGTGTATTAAGTTTTAGTTCTATTTGTTTGAATCATAATGACCATTATTAAAGAGTAAAACTAACAAGTTTGCTGTAAAATATCATGTATTTACTGAAGAAATGTTAAATGATATTAAGTTTTGGACTAAAATCAGTAACATTAGTATAAGAACTCAGCTATAATTATTTACAGTTAATTTGAAAATTAGTAGAATATATAATAAATTTTATAATGATTATCAGCAAATTTTGATAATTATAATTATTAAAATTATAGTCAAAAAGGATGTAATGATTTTAAGTAATGGTTAAGTTGTTATCTTCTAAGCAGCAGATCTAACCAGAGACATTTTTAGAAAAATAGACTTGTGTACTAATAACATTTATTTGACAATTAGTTGAATATATTATCTGTAATTTTGGTACTACTATTTTAAAATAGAAGCTCTTAAGTAATCCAAATCCAAGGAATTAGAATAATTGAAACTCATTTGGCAAGACCTAAGCAAGGAGGTAATAAAAATCTTTGATAATATTGTAGAAAGCTGGAACTGAAAACTAAAAAACTAGGTGAAAACCCTGAAGCAAGAAAAGTTTACCAATCTGGCTGCTAAAGTTATATTAGAGAAAAAGATTCTATACTACATAATTAGAAATCAAGAGAAGTATAGTAAAACCTAAAAATATTTAAAATCTAAATACAATAATCTATCTGAGCTAACTGGTTTAATAATTGAAAAAAATTAGTATAAGGACTAGTTTAATATAGATATCAGAATTAGAATGAATCTTGTAAGAGTATAAATATTAAAATTATATAGTTCAATTTAATAGTTAGCTTTAACTACTAGTAGTGATTTCAGCTATTGCGAAAGGTATTCAAAGTCTAATCTAAAAATGTATAGAATATAAGAAAATTAAAGAGTATATACTACACCTTTCTTAGAATAACCTAATAGTATAAGAACCCTATTAGATTATTTATAGAATTAGAGCACAAATAATATAGCAGATATCAATCTAAGTAGTCTTTAATTAAAGCAGTACAAGATTATAAGATAGCATAATTGTAGTGATAATACAGAACAAAAGATATTAGAAAGTTTAAATAAGTAATTTTTTAGTTAGGTTATAGATATAGCATTTAGTATAAAACCTCTAGGCAGATTTAAATAAATAACTAAAAGTTGTATATATGACTAAATATAGTTTTATTAACCAAGAATATATTACTAAAATACCTAATAAAAATCTAACTGTTTGTGATATTGCAAAGGTAAAAAAAAATTACAGTCAATTTTTAGTAATAAAAAGTGTAGTTTTTAATAATATAATTTTTGGCTAGTATATCATTTTAATATAATCTTACATCAGCCAAAAATCTTATTACCAAAAACTATATTTTTATTACCAAAAATAATTATTAAAATTTGCTAATAATCATTACAAAATTTATTATATGTCTTACTAATTTTTAAATCAGTTATAATATTAATTAAGTGCCTAAATGACTTAGAAGTAATTAAATAGTTAAATGATTATTAATTATATAAATTATAGTTAAACAATATAACTAAAAGCAGTGTCTTTTATCATCTGATTTTTTTATTAAAAGCATAACTTCTTTCTTTTTAATATATTTTTTAATTAAATATATATATATAATTTTAAATTTTTTACCACCTTCTCTAAAAATTATCTGATTTTTATTATATCTCTAATTACTTGTAGTTTAATTTCTAATACAATATAGATGTCATTATAAGTAATATTTATTTTTGAATATATTAAATTTAAATATTTCTTTTACTTCTGTCAACTTATAGAGACTTACATATCTTTTGTAATTTTTTAATTATTTTTAATTTATTAATTTAAAGTTTATATTTAAAAGTATTAAAAAACAAATCATATTTATATTGCTAAATTTTTTTTTAATATCTATTATTATATTTATACTTATATTCAGTGTTGTACCTTCAAAATAATAAACTTATAAACTAATTGAAATGGACCTCATTTGGACCATTTTAATTGTTCTAAAGAATTTTAAATGAAATATTGGTCTAATAAATTTTTTAACAAATGATAATTTATTATATAAATATCTTATATTCAGTGTTGTATTCTCAAAATAATGGACTTATGGACCAATTGGAATGGATCTCATTTGGACCATTTCAATTGTTCTAAAGAATTTTAAATAGAATATTAGTTCAATAAATTTTTTAACAAATAATAATTTGTTATATAAACATCTTATATTCAATCAAATTATGGTATTTAGTTATATTGCTATTATTAAAAAAATTATATAAACAAAATATATGAGTTTATTGGCTAACTTCAAGTCTTTAATTTAATTTTATTATATAATATTCAATAAAGGTAATGATTTGTATTAAACATATAACTTATAAATTTTTTTTTAACATATAAACTTATTTATATAATCATTTATTGGTAGATATTTATCAAAAAACAATTTTATTAATTTGAATTAGAATTTTAAAAATAGGAATAGGGTCTTTTAAACTCTTATTTATTTTGAAATAAGTTTAATTTTAAAAACCTCCAATGTTTAAATTCAATTTTATTTTAGTTTCGCAAATTTTGTATATAGATTTTAAATACTAAATAACATCATGTGCATAAAAGCTAAACTTTATTAGATATTTTTTTTAATTAGAATTTGACTAATTAAACTTAGTTAAAATTCTACTAGTTCATTATTCTGATTAAATTTGAATTGGATCATTCTAATTACAACACTAAACACTAGTAATAAATATTTAAATAATAAAAAAATTTGATTGGTTAATTTGAATTATATAAGTAATGCAAAATTTTGATTGGTCAATCTGAATTGGATCTATTTGGATCTGATCCAATTGGTCTAATTCTATATTCCAATTAAATTTCAATCAGAAGCTTCCAATTGACAACACTGCTTATATTGTAACAATAATTCTCTATAATCTTAATACTATAAATTCTGTGATTTTTTTCTAATAATTTATAAGCTATAAAACAATTTATTTAACTGATTATTAAAAATAATATTAAATATTTCATTATTTTTTGATATTAAATAAATTTTATAGAGTTTTATCTGTTCAAAAAATCTTTTGAAAATTTGTTATATATTTTTTAAATATTTATATTCAGATGATAGTATATAAATATAAATAATTTTAATATTCTTAAATAATTATACATATTAAAATATTTATTTAGCTAAATTTATATAGGCTTAAAGTGATTATATATTGTAATACAAGCTCTAAATATATTTAATATGCTATTGGCTAATATTTCAAAATATTAAATCATTTTAATAATCATGCTATTAGAGGGATTACAACTATAGATGTTGATAAAACTAAATAACACTTGTAAAACTGGTAATTATCTAAAATTTAATTGATTATTATATTAAATTTCATCAGTTTCATTACAAGAGTTTCATTAATTTCACCAGCATCTATAATTGTAACTATATTAAGATAATACCTATCCTATCTTATAATTAAAAATATACTTTCAACTATATCTATAACTTCTATCTAACTACAAAGTAAATTTATAAATTTAGTAAAAGCTAGTCAAATATATAGACATCACTCTATTACCTGTACAAAAAACTTTTTGTATAACAAGATACAATAATATCACTATTATTAATTATAGATTATCTTAAATCTGTATTATAAATTAAAAGTTGAAAAATCAATTACTATAATATATTATATATAAAAAATTTCTCTATATATTAATTTCTTATAAATTAAATTTAGGTTTATAATATAGAATAAAATTTTAGTAAAATATAAAAGGAATAAAGATGTGGTGACTTAGTGAAGTGGTCAAGTTGTTACCCTCAAGTGGCATATCTAAGGTTCGAATCCTGTTGCTAACGAATCTTTGAATTTCTATCTGTATAATAGCTATGATCTTTCCGGTTGGGGCTGTGTTATACACAGTGCTCATCAAAGTTGAAGCTCAGTCCTGTAACCCAGTATATACTAATTTAATTAAATTGAAAAGATCCATAGAGTGTTTATATAATGTATAAGTTATATAAAGACATGCAAGCTGACAAAGAGCAGTGCAAACCTATGATAAATCCTTATAGTCAGATAATTTCTGAGGACTTCAGCAAGATTAGTGCCTATTTGGCAAGACTCGAGTGGAAAGGTAGCATAGTCTTAAGTGCTTGGGTGAACTTCATAAGGGCAGGGTGATTCAGAAGCGGTATAACCTGCCTATAAAAGTATAGAATTTATCTGATAAAGAATTCTCCTGTGAGGTAGTTTAGAAGCAGTGTAATCTGCCTATAAAGGTATAGAATTTATTTGATAAAGAACTTTCTATAGTTAATCAATAGCTGCCGGATTTGCCAATAGAAGGGGTCTACTCTTCTGGCCATTGTACAACCTGAAGAAATCTAGGTCTGATGTTAGGTAACAAGCATCAATGGAGGGCACTAGTTGGGTATTTTCTTCCCTTACTATAATTAGTTGTACTTTAAATTAGTTCTTTAATAGAAAATAAAAAGTGATTTGCTATGTGAAAACAGTTATACAGGATAAAAATAGATAGTTACTAATATATCATCATAATAAAATAATGTAATGAAACTATATCATGTATATAGCAAAATCAAAAAAAAATATAAACTATAAAAGACCCAAATATACAAATAGAAAAATACTAAGAAAAAATTAAAAAAATAAATTATTATATTCACATCTATACAAAAAGCCCCAGGTCTAAATATAGGTTTGAAAATTGATGAAATATAACAGACCCAAGCATTTATATAGCACATTATGGTAGTTGGTTAGTTGACAACTAATTGATTAAATCATTAATCAATTAATTAATTAATTGATTATTTGCAACTAATCAACTAAAGAATTATTGTAGTTTATAAAATTCTATAAATTTTGCAAATTATAAAAAAAAAAATAATCGATTATGATTAATAATTATTGATTATGATTAACAATTAGTGATTATCAATTTTTAATATTTTTTTTATATATTTTTTTAAACTTTAGATTAGTTAGTTAATCGATTATTGCGGTTTGCAAAATTCTGTAAATTTTACAAATCCATAAAAAAACAAATAATTGATTATGATTAATGATTATTAATTATGATTAACGATTAGTGATTTCCGATTTCTAATTTTTTTTCATATATTCTTTTAAACTTTAGATTAAACTTTAATATTATGTAAATTTTTATAAAAGACGTAATAAACTCATTAATACTATTATTAAGTTAAATTAGAGTTTATTACGTTTTTTATAAAAATTTACATAATATTAAAGTTTAATCTAAAGTTTAAAAAAATATATGAAAAAAAATTAGAAATCAGAAACTAATCATTAATCATAATCAATAATCATTAATCATAATCGATTATTATTTTTTTTTTTTATGATTTGCAAAAATTTACAGAATTTTGCAAACCACAATAAATGATGCATGTGATAAATTAAAAAAATATAACGATTAAAGAAGTATACTTATTGTTATTCAAGTAAATAAATTCAATTTACAAAATTTTTATTATCTTTTGATTACCATTACAAATTTGCAAATTATATTATATAGGTGTGGCTAAGGGAAAACCTTGTTTCTGTTTTTTTTGCTATACTCAGTTATGATCTGAAGCATATGTATTACATATGTTTCGGTGTTTTAGTGTTTCAGATCACTTGACAAAAAAACAAGAACAAGGGTTTCCCTTAGCCGCACTCATATAAAAACACAACCGGGAGCCCACAAAAAGAAGTATGGATATACATGGGTCTGAATTATTTTTTTTAAAAAAAAAGAAATTTCGATAAGCATTTGATATTGCTAGTTTTTTTTTATATGAACTTCACAAAGCAGCTATACTAACTAATTTATTTTGACATAAAGAATTCAAATAATTTACTAAGAATTTTGATAACTATGAAAATTAATTTCACCACTAAGAAAAAGTAATTTCGACAGACTAAATATCAAATAAATTTTTATTAAAGGGAGTAATTTAGACACCAATGTATAGGTATGAAATTATATTCAAAAAGGAGAGCAAAAGATTATGAACGTTACAACACTAGAATTAGATGAATTGCAAGAAAAAATTTTAGATGCAACTATATGCAATTAGAAGATACTAGAAATAATAAATTTTCTATTGAGTAATTCATTAAAGCAACCTTAGCATTGATTCTAAATTTGTTAAAACAAATTTAAATTTGACATTAACACTTTAGTAAATAATTTCGATATTTGAGAATTGTTAAATAAGTTGAATAAATATAAATTGCACTTTTATTTGTATATTTATATATACATATAAATAATAACTATTATCAGTTATACATTTTAGAGTTTGGTTTTTGCTTCATATTGTGGTATAAATTACGGCTTGCAGCTTTATTTCTACCTGAAAATTGATGCCTAATTTCTAGAGTTCGCCAGGATGACCACTCCAACAACACCCTGAAAAATTCTGCAAAACGTGACTACGAGCCAATCATAGTTGAAGATCAGGTGTAATGTAACACAACCCAAAAAATTAAAAACAACTGCTCTTTTGACAATAATCGGCCATAACTCAAAAATCTATATAGGAAACCATCATTAGTGTTCTAACAAAAAGTTTTCCTTGAGTGATTTTACTATATATTAGATCAATAACAAATACTAATATAATTGCTAACCCCAGTATTAACAACATTTTAAGAGTTTTATTATCACAGAATTTTCAGAGTGTTGTTAGAGTAGTTTCACCAAAAGTATGGTCACATGATTTGAATTATCGCCACAGACATATCTTATTAATAACCAGTATATTGCTTTGTTACATATTTTAAGAAACTTTCACAGCAATACGCTGCATGCAGAAACTATACGATTCAACAATTTTCTAAGAAATTATGCAATGGCTGTGGCATCTTATCATGTGCCTGTACTTTTGGTGGTCGAACTCTAATTTCAACGATTCATATGTATATCTTACATTACACCAACGCATATGCGCAAAAATATAAAATTCTTTTTTTAAATTATAAGCTTATTTACAAATTACAAATTACAAATTTCATGCAATTCAATCTGATAATTTCAAACAGTATTATAATTTTCATATATATAATACAATATCATTTTATTGTATAAAAATTTACAATATATATTCCATTAAGAAAATTTTCATATTTTTTTCTAAAAAAAATAAATTGTTATTTATTATTAATGGATCTCTTAATTGATACAATCAAAAATTTTACTGTAGTTAGAACCATCTTTACCTTATTAACGTATTTGAAAAAAGTTAGGATCACTTGCAAAATCAGGTTCAGCTTTTTCTATTTTAAAAACCAACCAAGCAGTTCCAATTGGTTCAAAATTGTTACCAGGATCTACCAGGACTTGAAAAGTAGGTAGAACAAAGAAAGCGTTTGGATGCTGAAGTCTAACAGCTTCATACGCATTATAAAGTTCTTCCGCATTTCTAAAATGAAAAATACACAGTGAATTTTTGTCCCTTCTTCGATTTGCAGGAAGATTGTAAGTTGCGAAAAAATTCATGACGTTGTCATATACAATCTGGCTGTGTTGATTAATCCACCGCATGTTTGGGACAATAACTAGAACTGGATCTAGCTCTTTAACATCAGAAAAGAATTCTTCATGTTTTTTAATTTTATTTTTAGATGCTTCTGGAAAAATGATTCTCAAAGCTTAAAAAAGTTAAATTTTATTTTAGATTCTATTATAAAGAAAACTAAGAAATAGAGTGTGGTGACTTAGTGTAGTTGGTAAGTTGTCGTACCCCAAGCGGCAGGGCAAGAGTTCGAATCTCACTGGTGACGAAATTCGAATTTGTGGAAATGCGTTACGGTAAAACTATATAACATATCGATCAGGTAAGCACCTGTAACTTTGGTCTCACCAACTCGTATTGAGAGGTTGTGGAATGTAGTGTGATGCATGAGTTATACAAAACCCGAGTGAAGCAGCCAAATAAATCCAAGGGATCAGAAGATACAGAAGCTCGTTTGGGAAGTCCCGAGTAGAGAGGTAGCACAGATCTTCGACGACATTACATAAAGGATTATCATCTGGGGAACCGGACACCCTAGGCAAACTGAACGAGGACCGAGTGTTTGGCAAGCACTACACTAACCAGGCTGCCAGATCAGCCAGAGAAAAAAGGATTCATTCAG